CCAACATATGGAAACAACCTAAGTGTCTATAGATGGATGAGTGGATAAAGAAAATGTATGTATGTATGTGTGTGTGTGTGTGTGTATTTATTTATATAGAGTATTATACAGCCATAAAAAAGAATGCAATTTTGCCATCTGCGACAACACAGACAGACCTTGAGAGCAGTATGCTAACTGAAATAAAGACAAAGACAAATACTATATGATCTCACTTACATGTGGAATCTTAAAAAAAAAAAAAATGAGCTCATAGATACAGAGCATAGATTGGTGGCTCCCTTAAGTGGGGAGGTTGGGAGGGGGGGTCAAAGTGGGCAAAGGAGGTCAAAAGGTACATATTTCCAGTTATAAAATAAATGTCATGGGGATGCAATATACAGTACGGTGACTACAGTTAATAATACTGTGTGGCATACTAGAGAGTTGCTAAGAGAGTAAATCTTAAAAGTTTTTAGTACGAGAAAAAAAATGTCTAACCACGTATGGTGATGAATGGTAACCAGACTCACTGTGATCATTTCACAATATAAACAAATATCGAACTATTACATTGGGGTGCCTGGGTGGCTCAGTTGGTTGGGCGTCTACCTTCTGCTAGGGTCGTGATCCCAGTGTCCTGGGATCAAGTCCCACATCGGGCTCCCTGCTCAGCAGGGAGTCTGCTTCTCCCTCTCCCTCTGTCCCTCCCTCCCCCATGCTCTCTCTCTCTGTCGTGCACACACTCTCTCAAATAAATAAAATCTTTTTAAAAAATCATGATGTTGTATACCTGAAGCTAATATGTTGTGATAGGTCAATTACACCTCAATAAACAAAAAATTACACATGGATATCTCCTTTCTCCCAGCAATCCTAGTTTGAAGAACTGATTCTACAGATGTGCTAAATTAAACAGGTAAAAGGTATTCACTGCAGCATCCATGGGATATCAAACTTGCCACTCAAGAGAAAGAAGGAGTTATTTCTACCACATAGGAACCACCTCTAAGAGATGTTAAGACAAAACAGTAAGGTGTAGCACAGTCTAGAAAAATGTCTACATGCATGAAAAATATGCTGTACATATTTACACGTGTTTTTAGTCTATATGTACAGCCTGTCTCTGAAAAAACAAGCAAGCAATATGGTAATAGTGGCTACCTCCTGGGAGAGACCTGGGTGACTTGGGGAAGAGGAGGAAGGGAGATGCATCATTTACTCTGTACCCTGTTTGGTGTGGTGTGATTTTTTACAGCAATGAGTACCTGAGGGGGGCCGAGAACTTCAGAGCAAGAAAGGAAACGTCAGATGGCTAAGAACATGGAAAGGACAGAAGAGTACTGACATTCAAGAAGGGATGTGCAGGAATAAAGAGCTAGTAGAAGAGAGAAGTAGGGAAGGAGGTGCTTTAAGAGCCCAAGTAAAGATCTCAAACTCTTAAAAAATATATAATAGCAGAAGTCCTTCCTAGTAAAATGTGAAACTTCAATATATAAAGTAGATAAAACAAGTATTTTATCATATATTTTATAAGCTCAAATTCAAACATTTCTTTAGGTCAAACACTGAATATAATGATGCTCTCAAAACATAAACTTGAAATGGGGAGTATAGAGGAGTATCTCAGGAAAACCTTAAAATACACAGAAATGGCAAGAGAAGCTTTATACCAAGGTCTGCTCCGAACAATGAACATGGCAGTACACGGAGGCACACCAGTGATCGATCTCCAGCATGTCAAATTTGGTGTATGACATGTTCAAGTGTGTTTTTCTTTTAATCTATCTTGATTGCTTTAAAAACTGGATTACATATTTAAACAAAAAAAATTTGAACCTAATGTTTATGTCATGTGGGAAGCAATAAAGACAAAATTTGCAAACCACTGGCCTGGAAACACTGCATTATGATGAAAACCTATGAGATTTATTGAGAAGCTACCTTGTGGTTGGATGGGTTCAATTAAGCCTCATTCTCAGACAAGTGGGTGCTCTTCTATGGCTCTTCTTATCTCCCTATCTCCTTCCACAGCCCCCACCCTAGACCTCTGTATCCCCATAACAATGGCTCTCAACTCCAGCCACAAGGCTACTTCCTCCAGCCTTCCCACTTGGCCCCAAAGCCCTTTGCTGCCATTATGATGACAAGATACTGACAGATACAAGTCTATGTTCTAGATCACTCACTGCAGGCCTGCATAACTAGGTATGTTGGTCTTGCACTGACTGCCACATTATCATTATTAAAAACAGTAACACAAATCCTGGAATGAGAGAAAACAGCTATAAAGGACTTAACTATGACAACTGATGACATTTTAGAATATGAACTATGGATTAGATAATGGCATGTTTCAATATTAAATTCCCTGATTTTTGATAACTGTATTGTGATAATGTAAGAAAATGTCATTTTTCTTAGAAAATACATACTGAAATACTTAGGGCAAAGAGGTGTGCTATCTCTATTCTCAAAATGATTCAGAAAAAATATACATACATTCACTTAGAATGTTAATAGCAAACAACTGGTGAATCTGGGTAGATGTACAGGATTTCCATGTACCATTTTCTGTAAGTTTGAAATTATATAAAAATAAAACTTAAAAAAATTATAACTCTGTTGCTAACATTGGTATTTGCTTCCTATAAGTTTGCAAGCATTTAATCCTTTCAAAATTCTATTAAATAGGTATTATTATTGTTGTCATTTTATAGCTATAGAGGTTACAGAAACTTTCTCCAGAGTCACATAGCTGAGTGGAGACAAGATTTGATCCTAAGTCTGTTCCATTCAGAGCCAAAGCTCCTAAATGTCACCTAGCCCTATCCTATCACCCTTACTGTATAATCTTTCCCTCCCAACTTTATCACAGAAGCCACCATTTGGGTTCTAAGCATTGTTATTCATGAAAACATCACAGCACTTATTATCTTCCCAGGCCTTAGGGCTTTGGAGATTATCACTGAAGTCAGGGCTAGAAATGAAAACTCACTGAAGCCATCACCACCAACAAAGAACCAAAAAATCATCCTATAACCTTCATTTTCCTTAAAAACAAAAACAAACAAAAAAACAAACCAAACCTTGAAATACAGTCAATTCAGCTGCACTCAGGGTATGTCCAATTTTATTGACTGTTCACAATGAAAAGATTTCAACTACATTTACTATATATAAAGCTCATGCCAAAGGGTTATCTTCCCCAGAGAGACTAAAAGCTCAACACCAAGCATCTATTCTACAAGACTTCTGTTCAAGGGACCTTACTGCATTGCATTCCAGCCAGGACAACAGTGTCACCATGGGCCAAGCACCATGGCATGGGGATAGCCCACTGTAAGGAATGGGATGCTAGAATGGCCCTTAGGAAAAGAGAGATTCTTCTCATACCAAAATGGGGGGAAAGGTGTACTCTCTTGATATATACATTAGCTACTGACAGTCTCCTGGAGAACTTTCTATGTTCTCATCTGCCCTCAGATGGTTGTGAGCCCATGATGTATAGGCCATGATTAAATGCAGTTAGCTCCTTTCCCAGAGTTGGGAGAGTTTTGTAGGCAGAATGCTAACACATACTCCACAAAACTATAAAGGACCCATTTTTAAGTCATAATGATCAAATAAGAACAAAATAAAAGAGAAAAAATAATTTAGCTATAGAGTTCTTAATTCTGAGGAACAGTAAAACCTTGTTAATGCTGGGCCCATTACTTCTGAATTTCCAAACACTCAGCTACGTGTTTCCTACTGGTGTGAAGTTAAAATGACTTACTTATATGAGCTTCAGTGTTTATGATAAAATATTACACAATACAGACACAATGGGAATATAATCTTTAACTTCTTTCATTAAATAAAATGAACTCTTCTATGTTTAGTTTATAATATGGGCGCCTGGGTGGCTCAGTTGGTTAAGCCACTGCCTTCGGCTCAGGTCATGATCCTGGAGTCCTGGGATCGAGTCCCACATCGGGCTCCCTGCTCAGCGGGGGGTCTGCTTCTCCCTCTGACCCTCCCCCTTCTCATGCTCTCTCTCTCTCTCTCATTCTCTCTCTCAAATAAATAAATAAAATCTTAAAAAAAAAAATAGGTTAGTCCAAAAAATCACTTTTAAGAGTAGGTAAACATTATAGAAATTATCTAGTTACGATATCATCCTGTTCACTTATACCAAGCGTGGAATAAACTGTAAATGAAGCAATCCTTTTACTTAGTCACTCAAATTACCTGTCCACCCTGGTATTCTCTCAAACTCGTGTTACGTAACTAATATTTTTTCTGCCATTCATCTTTTTTCATGTTTTTTTTGTTGTTGTTGTTTAGCCTTTTGATTCAGCTTGTTGAGGTAACTTTGAATCTTTAATCTGTGTGTCATCAACATATTATCCCTTCCTCCCAAGTTGTTGACAGTGACTTCAATACACACATCTTCTCAGAGCCCTGGGGAAGACTAAACCTATAAGTGAATACCAATTAGTTAATAACAATAATACTAGCAATAATTTTTGCATATAATTAGTATATACTGAACCATTAGTATGTGCCAATCACTGTTCTATGCACTTTACAAGCAATATCCCATTGATTTCTCAAAATAACCTTATGAGGTTTACATACATTTTCTAAATGAAAAAAACTGAGGCACTGAAAAGTTAATTTTTAAGGTCGAAATAGCTAAAAAGTGGGGCACTGAATCTGACTTCAAGTGGGGGCCCATACACTTAACTACGAGGACATACTGCCTCTCAATTTGGAAGCATTTAAGTAATTAAATGGTACACTGATCCCAATAGTTTCAAACAATAGTTTAAACTTTTGCATAAAAAGTAAGCTAGTTCAATCAATGTAAACTTTTTTTTTCTTTTTTAAAGAATAAATGAGGTTGTATTGTACTTGATGCCCAAGAAGCACAACTCCTTAGTGAAATCCTGAGGTAGGTTTGTTCTGCAAAGGATTCAGAAGAAAGGACTACCTTTGGGCAGGTGGCTGGAACCAAGTGGGATTGGTGCAGGTACCTGAATTCGCTGAGGTGAAGCTACCGCAGAGTCGGTGGAGATTATCTGGATGCGTGGGGAGGGGCTGGTCATCCCTGGAGATTCCGGCCGAGAGGTCTGTGTCCGTGGTACCTGTGGGGGAGAAGTGGGCTGGATCACAATGGAGCTCAGAAAAATGCCCAGTGGTAGCTGGGGACCATGCCTCTTGCTTTCACTGTGGCTTTGAGTAATAAACTTGAGTAGTTCTGGTGTTTGCACCCAGAACGACAAAGGAACTAATGAGATAATGCCACAGGATGGCTGTAAGAAAATACAATCTTAAAAGAGCTATTTCTAATGCTGAAAATGCAAAAACAAATAACCCCCCCATAAAACAAAAAAATTCCCACAAAAAACACAGAGGAATTTCAAATCTGCTCTATACAACTTTAAATAAATAGCTACTAGAGTAACTTTTTAGAAATGATCTTTGAATGTTTTCACTGTCTCCAAAACCAGCTGTAAAACACTCCTTTAAGATGATAGTTTCCAGAAGAAAGGCTCTCATAACACCATAAAGGATGGCAAAAAGAACCAGCACTACACTGAAAAACTACTTGTGAAAGAGTCCTGGTAATCCCCCAGTCCCACTGGGATGGGGCTGGGAAAAGCCCATCAATTATACAAAGGTCTGGAATTTAGTCAATACCCACCAAAGGCAAGGTTCAAGGTCCTGAGTGGTCATCTAGGCACCTGAAGTGGGCAGTTATTACTTTTCCTTGAATAAAAGTATATCATGGGGCACCTGGGTGGCTCCATTGGTTAAGCGACTGACTCTTGATTTCAGCTCAGGTCATGATCTCAGGGTCATGAGATCAATCCCCACATCAGCTCCACACTGGGCATTGAGCCTGCTTAAGATTCTCTCTTAAGGGGCACGAGGGTGGCTCAGTCGGTTAAGTGTCTTCGGTTCAGGTCATGATCCCAGGGTCCTGGGATCAAACTCCATGCAGGGCTACCTGCTCAGTGGGGAGCCTGCTTCTCCCTCTCCCTGCTTATGCTATCTCTGTCATTATCTCTGTCTCTTTCTCTCTCTCAAATAAATAAATAAAATCTTAAAAAAAAAAGATTCTCTCTTAAGAGATTCTCCCTCTCCCTCTGCCCCTCCCCCTGGTTCACATGTGCTCGCTCTCGTAAAAAAAAGAAAAAAAGTATATCATGAACCATGCTTTATAAGCTCTTCCAAAAAACAGGTGGGGGAACACTTCTCAATTCATTCTATGTAACCAAAACTAGGCAAAGACATCACAAGAAAACTACAGAAGACCAATATTCCTTATGAATATAGGTGCAACAATCCTCAATAAAACATTAGCAAACTGAATCCAGAGGCATATAAAAAATTATACATCATGAGGGCACCTGGGAGGCTCAGTTGGTTAAGCAGCTGCCTTTGGCTCAGGTCATGAACTCGGAGTCCTGGGATGGAGGCCTGCGTTGGCCTCCCTGCTCACCAGGGAGTCTCTTTCTCCCTCTCCTTCTGCCCCTCTCCCTCCTCTCATGCGCGCATGAGCTCTAATAAATAAAATCTTTAAAAAAAATTATACACCATGACCACGTGGGATTTACCACAGAAATACAAGGCTGGCTCACCATATGTATGTAATGTAATCTGCTGTATTAATAGAGGATAAAAGCCTCAACATCTCAATTGACACACAAAAACCATTTGACAAAATCCAACACCATTTCACAAAAAAAATCATTCAACTAACTAGAAACAAAGTTCTCAATCTGGGGCACCTGGGTGGCTCAGTTGGTTAAGCATCTGCCTTTGGCTCAGCTCATGATCTTAGGTCCTGGGATCCAGTCCAATGTTGGGCTCCCTGCTCAGTGGGAAGCCTGCTTCTCCCTCTCCCTCTGCCCCTCCCCCCGCTCATGCACACACACACACACACACTCTCTCTCTCAAGTAAATAAATAAAATAAAGAGTTCTCAATTGGATAAAGAGTATCTATAAAATACAGCTAACACAATACTTAATGGTAAAAGACTGATAGTTTTCTTTAAAAAATTTATTTATTTATTTGAGAGAGAGAGCATGTGCAAGAGCGGGGGTCGGGTGAAGGGGGGTTGGGAGGAGGGGCGGAGGGAGAGAGAGAATCTTAAGCAGGCTCCATGCCCAGCACAGAACTCTCACGGGGCTTGATCTCATGACCCCGAGATCATGACATGAGCCAAAACCAAGAGTTAGTTGCTTAACTGATTTGAGTCACCCAGGCACCCCAAGACTGCAAGGTTTCTAATTAAGGTCAGAAACCAAAGATTTCCCCCCTCCCTCCCAAAAAGTCTCTTAGAAAAAATAAATTCAGCAAAGCAGCAGGATACTAAGTCAACACAGAAAAATCAGTAGCATTTCTATACAAAATGAACAATCTGGAAAGGAAATTACAAAAAAAAAAAAATTCCATTGTGATAGCATCAAAAAGAATCAATTACTTAGCAATTAAGTTAACCAAAGAGGTAAAAAAGACCTGTATAATAAAATCTATAAAACACTGCTAAAAGAAATTAAAGATATAAGTAAATGGAAACATATTCTGTGTTCATGGACTGAAAGACTTAATACTGCTAAGATGTCAATACTACAAAGTGATCTACAGATTTAATGCAACCCCTGTCAAAATACCAGTGTTTTTTGCAGAAACTGAAAATCCATCCCAAAATTCGTATGGAATCTCAAAGAACCCTAAACAGATAGCCAAAACTACCTTGAAAAAGAACAAAGCTGGAGAACTCACACTTCCTGATTTTGCTACAAAGTGAAAATAATCAAAACAGTGTGATATTGGTATAAAGACAAACATAAAGACCAAAGGAACAGACTAGAGATCCCAGAAATAAAACCTGGCATATAATGGTTAAATGATTTTTGACAGAGGTGTCAAGATCATTTAGTGGGGGAAAGGACAGTCTTTTCAACAACTGGTGCTGGAAAAACTGGCTATCCACATGAAAAAGAATGAAGTTGTACCTTTATCTAACACCATATACAAAAATTAACTCAAAATGGATCAAAAATCTAAATTTAAGACCTAAAACTACAATATCCAGAATATACAAAGAACTCCTAAAATCCAACAACATAAAAAACCTAACCCAAATAAAAAATGAATAAAGGACTTGAATAGACATTTCTCCACAGAAGATACAAAACAGCCAATAAGCACATGAAAAGCCATTCAACATCACTACTAATCATTAGGGAAATAAAAACCAAAACTACATCAAAATGCCATCTCATGCATACTAGGATAACTACTATCCAAAAAACCAGAAAATAACAAATGTTGATGAGGATGTGAAGAAACTGGAACTCTCATGCACTGCTGGCAGGAATATAGAATGGTACAGCCTCTTTGGAAAACAGTCTCACCAATCTTCAAAAGTTAAACACAGAGGGCGCCTGGGTGGCTCAGTTGGTTAAGAGACTGCCTTCGGCTCAGGTCATGATCCTAGAGTCCCGGGATCGAGTCCCACATCGGGCTCCCTGCTCGGCAGGGAGTCTGCTTCTCCCTCTGACCCTCCTCCCTCTCATGCTCTCTGTCTCTCATTCT